TGGACATGCTTGATGGTTTAGAAATATTGAATTTGCTGAAAAAAAAACGTGTTCTTAGCTTAGAATTATTAAGCGAATATGTGTTTAAACAGTTAAATTCAACTTCAAAGATGTATGACTACTCATCTCAACTAAGCAATATAGATGGTGGAGAATTTGAAATAGCTGATGATGATGAAGATGAAACAACAGATGATCTCAACATAGATGATGACAATAATGATAGTTTTTCCTCGAATGATGATTATAGTGATGACGACGAAAAAGACGATACTCGAGATTTAATAAACACGGCAAAAAAAAGGCTTTACTGTAATGAAAGTCTTTAATAAGATCGAACCTCACATAGAACAATCTTATTTTAAAGTCACAAAAAATAATGATACGAAATATTTACATAAACAGACTGCTTGTTGGTTATTAACAGGTGACAAAAGTAAACTTTCAAATGATCGGTTACTTCGAGTAAAGCAAACTAATAAAAAAGAATAAATAAATGATTTTTTCTTTATGCAATATTTTGCTTGATTTTCTTTTTAAATAAGCAGTATTTTGTTTAATTTAAAGTTTTAGAGTCAGTGAATGTGCTGCACACAGGTAATAGAAAGATGCTGTGCACTCGTCTCTAAATCGAAACCAATATCTGTCATATTTGACGTAACTATTGATGAAAAGAATCAAAACACCGCATTCAAAAACTCTTCTGTTTAGGAGCAAACTGCTAATAAGACTGAATTTAAACACGAGCATATGACATAATGATTGTTAATCCAAAGAGAAACAGGCTTATTCCCAACAGATTTCCATCAATCATACAAACATATAGAAAGAAACATGATCCCTCAGAAGATGGACACTGCAAAAGCTAACTACTAATAACCATCACCCATTCTCCTGGCAAACGCGTCACTGTCTAGCTATCATGTTTTCACAGATCAATTGAAATTCATATATTATCAGCACACTCACACAAAAAACAAAACGGGCTGAGAACTCCAATATAATACAAAAAATCCACACAAAAAAATACTGTGATTACTATATTGCCCATTCCCTTCCATGAATACAACTACTAGAGTTCAAGATAAAATATCGAGAATACCATGCATTACCAAAATATTAACTCACATTCCAACGACTTCGCTAAACTGAAACACTGTTCAATAAATTTCCACTCACCTTCAGAAACTTCACACTAATCAAACACCCTTCGCAAGGTTATAGTAAACTTTAGCCAACTCCACCACAACGCATAAACATCAATTACATCAAATACGCCTAACAGACTATACACTACATCAAACGACTTTCCAAATAACATCAGCCTCCATCAATCAGACCTCGACAGTTGTCGCCAAATCATCAGTACATTTTATTGAGTACAAATAGGTATTCCAAAACTTCCTGATGAGTCCCTTAAGCAAGGACGAAACCGGTCGTGATAAGCTTGGAATTCTTCTAAGAAACACACCCACACCCTCATTTACGCTCTATATTGCTGTTTTACCAGTTATATTTCAATGTGAAATATGAGAAACCCATAAGGTGATGTCGCATCATCATTCCAATATTTAATTTTTTTCCCTATTTCCTGAAAATAGTGTCCTTTTTTTAAGAACATCACAAAATCGATAAAGATTAGTCATTCTTATTAGTTTTTTTTTAGAATTTTATTTTTCCGATGGTATTTTGAGCAAGAGAATAATCTATATATAATGTTCAGTGTCTGTCTGTCTGTTTCTCTGTGTCGGGTCAAAGGTCAAAGGTTAAATGTCAAATAAGACTCTAAGGGAGAGATCTCCAGGGGCTATTTTATGGGGTACTTATAGATCCTCAAGGGCTATCCTAAGAGGGTACCCATAGGTCCTAAAGGGCTATCCTACGGGGATACCCATAAGTTCTCAAGGGCTATCCTATGGGGGTACATATAGGTCCCCAAGGGCTATTCTGTGGGGGTACCCATAGGCCCCAAGACTATCCTATGGGGGTACCCAGAGGTCTCCAAGGCCTATTATATGGAGGTACCCATTGGTCCCCAAGGGCTATCCTATGGGTTACTCATAGGTCCTCAAGGGCTATCCCAACTGGGTACTGATTGGTCATCAAGGGCTATTATATTGTGATACTCATAGGCCCTGAAGGGAATAAGGCAATAGGGAGATAAGGCTGCAAGGAATATAAGGTCGAAGGCTACATTGCCTATAAACATATGTGCGATATAAGAGTATGAGGCCGTAGGGCTATCTATCTATATACATATTATCGAATGTCTGTATGTATTTTACCGGATGAAAAGTTAAATGTCTGAGGTCATGCGTTAAAGGACAAAACAGCCGTGCAATATGCACGGGTTCTCGCTAGTATATGAATAAATATGAAGCAAAAGAGAAACCGTCAACGATCTACGTCTAGAAAGACACTAACTCAAATGTATTTGTTTGTTTCAATGATCATATTTTTAGTAGTATGATTGTTTACGAGAGTATTTGTCAAAGGTGAATACTTGAAAAAACATGTAAAAGAGTTGCCCCTCAAAGGTTTTTTGGACGAGGCGAGATAGGAAAACTTTATATTTGGGTTGCAAATCTTTACTATATAATTTGTAAACATATTTTAAATAAAGAACAAAAAATAAAATTCTAATAAATGATATATTATTCTTTTGTGTAGAGTATTTATTTGAAATTGATTGATAATAAATGTTAATATTTCATCTGAAGATACATTAAAATGATGAAGCATGTTGATAAGATCTGTATATTGTTATCTCACCTTTACGTGACGTTTTTTTTTATTATAAAAAAAAGAGAGTATGAAAGTTGAGTACTTATTTTTTTCTGTTGTTGTGTTATTTAAATAAATAATATATAATCTACAAGGAAAATATTTGTTGGTGAAAGAATAATGCCATATCCCGTATATAAATTATATCGACGTAGATTTTATGTATTATTTATATTTTCATTTCTTTCATTTAATCAATGTCTTTTTTGGATAACATTTTCTCCAATATCAAATAAAGCAGAAAAATATTATAATATAAATGAATCAACAATTGAATTTTTTTTGGCTTGGGGACCTATATTATTTATTCCGTGTCTTCCATTATCTTATTTATTATTAAATAGACATAATGGACTTCGATATTGTGTTATATTATTATCAATAATACCTTTAATAGCAACAATAATTCGTATAATACCTTCAATAATAATATCAAAAGAAAATCCAAAATTTGGTTTAATATCATTACCATTTTTGCATATTGGTCAAATATTAAATGCAATATGTGGTCCATTAGCAATGGCACCAGTATCACAATTATCTTGCTTATGGTTTGATACAAATGAACGAACACGTGCAACAACAGTAGCTATTATGTCATATAATTTAGGTTCAACAACTGGTTTTATTTTAGGTCCAAATGTTGTTTATAAACCAGAAAATATTCCTTATCTTCTTTATATTCATTGTGGACTTGCATTTATTGCATGTATTATTGCTCTTATTTATTTTCCTATTCAACCACCTACTCCTCCATCACCAGCTGCTGAGTTATTAATTTATCGTCCAATTAATGAAGAAAGAATTAATTCATTAAGATCTTATATAAAATCTATTAAAGATTGTTTTAGAAGACGTTCATTTATTCTTCTTGTTATATCAGGTGGTCTTATTGGTGGAACATATGCAGCATGGACAAGTTTATTTGATATTATTTTAACACCTGAAGGTTATACTGAAAAAGAATCAGGTAAACTAAATTTTTATTTATATTTAATTTTAATTTTAATATTATTTAAGGTTGGATTGGTTTTAGTTCATCAATAGCTGAAATAATTGGTGGTTTATGTTTATCTGCAATAGCTGATAGGCCTCGTTTTCATCGTTCATTTAAAATACTTATTCTTATATGTTTTATTTGTTATTTTATTTCTGTTAGTTGGTTTAATTTATCGATTCATACACTTTTTATTGATAAATCAATTATTCCATCAACTGCTATTACCCTTGGTATATCAGTAACATTAGCTGGTCTATTTCAAGGTGGTGCACAACCATTAACATATGAAGCACTTGCTGAAATAATGTATCCATTACCTGAATCATTATCAGCATCAATTCTTGTTCTATTTATAAATATAATATCATTAACTCTTTTCTTTATTGCACGCAAACAATCAAAATTAATGAATTTTATTATATTAATAATACTTGTTATTTGTATTACATTAGTATTATTAACTAAATTTCATTATAATAGACGAGATGCTGATACAACAAGACGAAGTACATTAATACCAGATGATGTTGATCCTTTATATCATACAAATCAAATTGATTCAATTGAAAATATGTCTCAAATAAATCCTATTTCTGATTCAATGAACATGACTCCGATTATTGATACATTCAATACAAATGCTATTCTCGATGTATCCAATGCTTAATTAGTTTTCAAATTAAAACTTCAAAACAATCTTATTACTTTTTTTTTTAAATCAAACTATTTATTACAACAAATCTTTGTTGTAATAAATAGTGTGTGGGTGTGTGGGATGTGGGATGTGGGATGTGGGGTGTTGGTGTGGGTGTGGGTGTGGGTGTGGGTGTGGGGTGTGGGTGTGAGTGTGGGTGGGGTATGGGTGTAGTTCTTCTTTGACACACCTAACTATACCTACACCCACAGCCACACCCACACCCTAATGATTGATTTAGAGTGTTAAATAGAAGTGAAATAAAATTGAACTAAAGTGTCCGAAATCCAAAAAAAACCAGAAACCCGGAAAAATCCGGAAGATCTGGCGACTCTGATGAGAAGTAAATTCTAAATATACCTTCGACTGAAGGGAGGATCATATGAAAAAAAAATAGTTTGCTTGCTTGTAGTCAGGTCAAAAGAACATCGGGGTCAAAAAAACATCCGCTTAAAGAAGTTTGCGCTTTGAGGCTTTCCACCAATCACGTTTTTCAGCCCATAGTTTCAGCCAATGAGATGTTTTCGATATCGGGCTCTGGACCAATCAGATTCTTTCAGCTTGAAGTTTCAGCCAATCAGGGATTTTCGACATCGGGCTTTTGACCAATCAGATTTTTTCAGCTTGAATTTCCATGTCCACGTCGACGCCAACGCATTGGAACGCGTGACGAACATAGAGGTGACGTCACGCGTACCAATGCGTTCGAATCGATATGAGTAGCCTTGTAGGACCTAACGGTATTCCAAAAATATAACTTTTGAACTTCTAAGAATACTCACGAAAGTTTTACTTCCTTTCACATAGGTTTCAACTACTACCCGATCCATGTCTATTCGAACGCATTGGTACGCGCGACGTCACCTCTATGTTCGTCACGCGTTCCAATGCGTTCGCGTCGATATGGGAAGTTTCAGCCAATCAGGAATTTTCGACATCGAGCTTTCGACCAATCAGATTTTTTCAGCTTGAAGTTTCAGCCAATCAGGGCTTTTCGATATTGGGCTTTTGACCAATCA